TTGGAAAGGTATGGAAAAAATCAGACCATCTGAAAAGGTTCTGGCAGTCAAACAGCAGCTGTGACATACCAACAGTGTTACCAAGATCTTGAGGTGCACTGAGGGAGAAGGAAAAGGAGACTGACCCTAGATGATTACCTAAGACAGGATAACTCCATCATCTCTGTTTAGGAAATTGTAATTGATAGTGTCTGTTAGTATTTTCCTGAATAAAGTGGATAATCTTGACCCAGTCATTAGGAAACTAAATGAAATGTAAACAATGTAAGCTACTACCATGATCACTACTCAACACTGTAAGAGAGCAGATCATTAAAAACCAAACAACAAACCCTCTTGAGAAACCATGGTATTAGTTTTCTATTTATTTACAATCCTCTGCAGGCAAGTGATAACTTTACATTATTAAATGTCATGCAAGGGATCCCCAAGCTTGCCAACACTTACAATGCACACACCACACACCAGCCCCAGAGTTGAGTTGATCAGCATTGCCTTGTGGTGGCCACAATGTTTCCCATTTCAAGAGCGTGGATCCTCCATGCTGTTTGTCACAAAACAAACATGTCCCAAACCTCAGCTGAGTTAGTCCCACTGACTTCAGTAACAGATTTCAATAAAATTTGCATGGAAATTTCTGTGATCTTTGCATTTCATTTGTTTCTTGACAAGCAATTCACCCATCACCTTGAACATTGTCATTACGTATGTTGTACAAATCTTTTCAAAGAGAGGAAGACAATAACTCCACAAATTGGCTCTTCTTTTTTTTCTTCAGGCTTTTTTTTTTTCTTTGAAGGGGCAGGAGACCAAGCAAGGACTGCAAAAGTTGCATGAGTTATCTTTGGCAAATCAAAACCTCACCGAGAATCACAGCTCAGAAATACCATTTCAGTGAGGAGCTTAGCTATTCCTTTTAAAAGCAGCATCTGTGCTAGGCATTGCCATGTCAAGTAACTATACTGCACAGCCTTGACTCTCCAGACCTTGCCACTGGTATGTAAAAGCAGGATGCAACAGGGTACATGTCCACACCAAGTAATGCAGGACTGTGCTGTGACCTTTTCAGTAAAACTGAACTGTTTGTTTCCAGAGCTGGGAGTAGCATAACTGAAGTTGTACTGTTGCACAGCATCAAAGGGTCAAAGCCAAGATGGGTTGTTAAGTCAGGTGTGAAGACAAAAATCGTTCCTCCCACTATTCCTTATCTTATTGGTACAGCTGAAAAAAATCTACATTTTCCATCTCTGCACCACCACTCCCTAGCCTATTGTCTCTGCGAAAAGATATATACTTCATGGAGAAAGAGTCCAAAAGCTAAAGACTGAATCTAAAGCACATTAACCAGTACTTCTTTATACCAGGGATTCTTTCTGTCTACTCCTCTATACATTGCATTGCAATGCTTAGATACTTTACTGCAGCAATTTATTTTCTACCACTTTAAGGCACAGTAACTTTCATGAACTTCATTTTAAATCTCAATTTTACTTGAGCAAGCCAGTTTGCAATGAAATATTTATGAGTATTCTGTAGTTATTTGCCCCCCAAAAAAATCTCACTTTTGGAAGCAGCAGTATCACTCAAGGCAGATATTTGCATACACAGGACATTCACAAAAAACATCTAGGTAATGGCAGTACCACGACCAAGTTACATTTTAGGAAGATAAAGGAAGCTGGTAAGAGACAGATAAAGCAAGGAATCAACAGTAGAAATTTCCTTTCGGAATCACCAGTTATCATAGATCACATCAATCTGACTGATGCTTTGTACGTACTTGGGGGCTTACTGGTCTCAGTGGACTAATACGAACATCAGTAGTGTTGCAAAATCACATTGTTGTTAGAAATGACAAAAACAAGGACTGAATGTGCGTATGTATGTCTACACATCCCACTCAGGGGAACTGTCAATGAAGAGATGAAAGCAGCTAGAAACAGGCACCTGTTTTGATTTATTTGGCCTAATCAAAACTGTACCTTAGCACTACAGTGAGGCTGAAACAATAGCACTTGTTCCTCCCCTTTCAACTCTTTTCCTTCTGTGTTTTCCTTTTAATACATCCTGCTGTATGAATGAAACACAGCTTGCAGAGTGCATCCAAATTAAAAAAAATATTTAAATTACATACATGTTTTTGTACCATAAATACAAGGAAGAGGGGCACTTTTACTTCACAGTGGTGAGGTTTGGTGATTACTGTTTGGGTTTTTTTGTTTACTATAATGTTTATTATTATGTCAGTGTAGGAGCAGCATACGGTGAATAATATGTATCACAGCTGAGGTGTGACATAATTGCCCTGTGATAAAGTTAGCACGACTGAACACATGTTCATATCTCAGCTATTTCCTGTTCACAGTCTGAAACATTAATCTAAACTGCAGATGGACTTGCAGGTACAGTTGGCTTTGCTATGAAGTATTAGATTGTGAAACAGAGAAGTGATTCAGCTATAGTTGAGTACTGCTTAGAGGGGACAAGCACCCTCCAGCAGAAGCAGGTGGTGTGTGATGTGTGAGGAGTGATGCAGGGAATAGGAGAGAGAGGAAGCACTTTAATTCCTGCAGCCTTTTTGCTTAGTGGGCGTGAGTCAGAAACCAAATTCTCTGTCTCTTGGTCATGCAGATGAAAACCAGGATAGTACTTATTTCTGAAGTATGGTTAGTATACTGTAAGTACAGTATATTTAAAAGGACAGACACTTCTTGCACTGCAATAAGTATAAACTTAGATTAGAGTAGCTCCATAAGGACCTACATGGAATGCCTCCAATCAACCTCCATGCTCTTCATACTGAAGACACTACAAACATGCAAGAAAGAACATTAACTGCAGCTTGGATTTACCTCGCTAGAAGGAAGCTAAAAATGCAGCTGAATAATAATAATAAAAGTAGTACCCCAAACAGGTATCTGATATAAACAGCATTAATTCAAGCCCAAACAGAAACTACAGAAAGTCTACAAAAAGCTGGAGGAGATGGCTCTAAACTCTCAAATTATTCCTCTAGTTCCTGACAATAAATACAGAGTAAATAGGCTTTTATCTACTTGCTATTAAAAAAAATAATAATAATAAAACAAAAAAACAAAACCCACACCAACAAACCAAAAAACCTACCAGATTCAGACTATCTTTATGAAAACAAAATACTGAAAGATGCTGCCATCAGGAGCTGAAATGTGATGGAAATTATAGCCCTTAACAGAGTTACCATGAACAGAAGACAATACAAAAACCCAAAATTTCCAACAGGCCATGAGACTGAAGCCCACAACAGAAACATGAATATTTTCAGAAAGTGATTTATAATAATATAAGACAGGAGAATTTTGAGAGCAGTCCATAACAGTCCATACAACCATGAGAAATAACCATTTTATGTCACAGTAAAGATTAAACTCAACTTTCACAAACTCTTGAAAATAAGCAAACAATAAAAATATTTAGAAGACTTTTTCTTCCTCATGAATCAAAAAGTGAAAAATTTCCATTTATAACATAAGACCAGCATAAGTTCATAAGATATTAATAAACCTCATGGAATGTCTTTAAATTAATAGCAGTTAGCTAAGATATCTTCCTCCCTTCACATCTTACCTGCAACACAGCTATGAATTTCAATTGACACTATCTGTAACAGTACTGTTAAATGACTGAGGAAGAAAAAGAAGTTATGTTAACTTTCCAATTTACTCCTAGAAATGATTTTTTAAAAATTATTTTGACAGATAAGTAAAATCAGGCCTGTAAAGCACTGTCAGAAACTGCAACTACAGAGTAAATTTTAAAAATTAATTACATAACTTGCCATTGTTCCATAACCTTTAACTGATTTGTTTGCAAGATCTTCACAGAATTAATTTTTCTTTCTGAATACACTACCTTTGAGATGAATATCAGTATGACCAGCCTTTTTCTGTTTTACAGAGGCCTGGGGTTATTAGTTATCTTATGCTCCCCCTACTGACTCTGTAAGAAATGGCTCCAAAACCCTTTATGAACCTTCTCTGAAAGAGTTTAGGATTCAATATAATACTTCAAGGAATTAAAAAGGCATAAAGTACAATTCTATGCAGTGCCAAATCCTTGTCAAGAGCATCTGTCTTCTACTTCTTCCTAAGGCAGAAGCCTTAGAAAATAAATCCTTCCTGCAGCGTTCATGGTATTAACCACTATGCAAGCCATTCGTGATACTCTCACGAAATTACTTCATAATGTTTCAAGGGTTTTGTATTTAGGTGGAAAAAAAGAACTTCTAATTTACATTTGTGCAGAGTTCTTAACAATATTTCTTTATAAACTGTTGATTATCCACTGTAATGTGATGTGAAGGACAATAATCTACTACCAGTGTGACACGAGCACCATATTCACTTTTCACATTTTGAAAATAACTCATGAAGTGGCCAATGGAATATAATCTATAAAATATGTCAGGGAAAGTTCCCCACAATTCAGAAATGACTTACCAAAGGACTTAGTATACTACTTATATTACCTTGTAAGGTGAATGATCTTCGGGATGGCCTACTGCTTTGCTATTTTTTTACTGAAGAAAAACAAGTCATCTATGGCGTTGTTTTGGGGTTTTTTCATAAAATTTCTCATATAATAAGGACAACACTGGAACATCTGTCTCTATTACATGAACAGTAATACATTATATGATTTAAATATGTAATTTTGTTGTTACATCTAGCAAAAGCTATTAAACTAGTTTTGTTGTATAGTCATTTTATACAATGATAATCTACATCATGATACACCATGAAACTACGCCTTTGTCTTTACAGACACTGAACAGAAAGAGAGATAAAAATCAGGAAGCCATAATCATAGAATCATAGAATCATTAAGGTTGGAAAAGACCTCAAGGATCATCAAGTCCAACCCAACACCACCTAACTCACTAAACCATAATGAAATACAACTCCTGAACTTCCTACATAGACCTCTATTCCACTGAGCATTAACAAAATCCAGGTACTTACTAGATCAATCAGACTCTCCTGGATTCTGTTCAACGTGGTGCGTAGTCTGCTGCTACTGAGGCCCAGTCCTGTTGACTCAAACTGGAAGAAATACATTCTATTTAAGTTGAGAAAGGAAAACACATCAGTTTAAACTTTACAATGATACAGCAGAACTTCAGTTTGTAAACACTAGCTACAGATTACTTACCCTAAAGTTTTAGTACATAATTGCAACCATACAAAATGAAAAGAAAATCAACAGAGGTCACAGCACTCAACACTGCACTGGTGTGAAGAATGACTTGAATACATTTCATGAAGATGACAGCTTACCATTCATACCAATAAACAACCACTATCCTTTATTGCTACTACACTGTATTTGGGTGTGGGACTCCAGATTTCCCCATTTGGGATGCTAGCCCAGAATGGTGGACCACAATGCCACCAAGTCCTGCATGCACACCACACCCAAGCCAAATGGTCTCAGAACTTCTCTTTCAAGCTATAAAATTTCTTTTAATTCCTTACTGAATATCTAACTTGTGTATGTAAAATTATATCCATTGATCTTTATAAAGCCTTCATTATTACTTAATGCTTATAAAGATCTACCTGAGTAATGTGCCATCTTCATGCTCATGGCTCAGAAGTATTATGGGGCAGATGTTCAGCTGGGACAAATCAATATAGCCACACTGATTTCCTGGTAAATGCCATAAATTATACCAGATGAGGGTCTGATTTGACATGCGTAATTAATGTATTACTACTTATCTTCTACTTCAAATTAAAAAAAACCACAACAAACTAACACAACAAAGTGGAAATGGGACAGCTAAGAAACACACATTTACATCAAGAAGTATTTGAATACAGTTCTGGTATGTGATTCAAGCCAAAAAGGCAATTTACTGAACAATACTTAGATCACTGTTGTACGCTGTATTATTAGACTTCCTTTCAATGCACTAGATCAGGGAAAGAAGTGTTCGAGTTCATGTCATCCCATGCGCTCTTTTAAATACAAACAGGTATAATTTAGGTCCCCATTTACTGCATCTAACATTTCTGACTGAAGATGTCCATCTGCCCCAATCCTCCTGTGTATTAAATGAAAATTTACATCTGAGATGAACTCCCACTGGGAATTACATTCCACTGAAATCTACAACCTGATCTAGGAGCCATAAATCACTAATCCAGTGTCCACATTTGATAAAAAGAAGTGTTCACACCTTTGTTTTTACACAGGTGAAGTAAGCTTTCAATAGCTACCAGTAATTTTCACTTACTTATTTTATAACAATGTATTTCTTTCTAAAAAATGGTGATTTGACTTTTGAAAGATATGAACTAAAAGGAATGTACAAACAAAATTAAATTTCCATCAAATATTACATATAAAGAACTCTAGATTTACCAGACAATCAGTTACAGCCTGAAGGCAGAATTGCGCATTCATAGGTATGGGGTGGGGGGGGGAACCCAAAATAAACAAAAATAAAAAAAGGTTGTTGCTCAGCATTTTTCCAGAAGGACAGAACCTCATGACTTCACACAGAACATTGCACTCATCAGTGTAAGTGTTTTGCTTCATGGAAGTTTTTGTTATTTCCATATGCAAAATGGCAGATACTTAGATTAGACAAATTTATGACCTAGTAAGGCTATTAAGTAGACCATTAGACAATTTACAGAATAAATTTGCTCAACACCAACTCTATATAATCTCTTTAGCTAAAAAAAAAAAAAAAGAGGGTTTTTCTATAAGAATGGCCATTGGATTACAAAATATTACAATGTCAAAAAAATTAAAACTCACCTCGAACTTATTCTGCTAAGGAAGACTATTCTGTAGCATGTTGATGAATGATTTACACTTTGGTGAGTAGATATTAAATATAGGCAATTTCTTTTAATTTCATGTAAGGTTGCTCCATAATTTGAGGTAAGGAGGATAGGCAACCTTAACTTGCATCCCAGAAGTTAAAAAGGTTTTTAAGAAGCAGTTCTGGTGTGCAACTTTGGGCAACAAAGAAAGCCAAATACTGACTACATAGGATAATAATTCTGAAGAGTTCTGGAAAGAGCAATGACTTAGTACCATGACCGGACATAGAAGTCAACATGAATACTTTAAATCTTTGGTTTTCACTGAATGGGCAATCAACTCCATACAATTAATCACTCTCCTTATGTGTGTAATAACTCACACATACATTCTCAAACACACACATTCTCAAACAATTTCAACCATTTAAGGAAGTTATATTACCAGCATACTTTTTAGAAGCCAATTTGATGCTATTTTGTAAATAAAAATACAACAGGAACACTCTCAGTGGTCTAAATCACATACCATGACCCATGTCTACCTTCTAAAGGTTTAGAAACACTATGGGAAGTGAGGACATTTAAGCAACATTACAAGAGGGTTTGTTACATTCATAGACCCTTTGTAAGCATTATGTTTCCCACGGAAAATAATCTGTCAAAACAAAAATTGGGCACACTACAAAAACATCACAATATTACCACCCATCTGCTATGATGTTTACCTGCCTAGCACTGTGCTGTTCTCTGTTAGAAGCAGAGAATGAGGAAGTCGGTACAGGCTTTAAAATACAAAATGGGAGGTTCAAAAAAATAAAAATAAATGCAACACAATGTGAAAATCAGAGTAGCTCACTAGGCCATTGGAAATCAATTATCTTAACAAAAAATAAAAGAAAAAAAACCAACACAAACCAAAAAACTACCCACCTTCTAAACACAAACAAATTGCAAGTATATTTGTTGTGCCAAAGAGAACAGCTCAAAACCATTTAGAACCATATGTGAGTCTGAAAATCTATTACAATTTGCCAACAGATGATGATGAATTTGGAACCCCACGATATTATTACCCATAGAGTAATTTAGGGGCCAAGAGGAGAGATAATTGTTTTTACACACAGCTTTTCATAAATGCTTTAAGACAATTCTGTTGCAAGTTGACCTATGTTATGTACAGACATTGCCAACAAGCATTTATTTCAACTACAAGATCACTCAAAAAATCCCTTGTTTTCATTAATGCAATCAGTTTGACAGAAGAACACTAGATCTCAAGATTGTATTTTAAACCTCTTAAACCTGAGTTGCTACTTAACTTTCATGGCCCCCTTCTCCTCTTCCTTTTGCTATTCTTGTCTAAGTTAACGAAATACATATAGGAAAATTAAATCACCTCATACTCCCCAGGCTCCAAACCACAACCCTCCTGCAGACTGTTCTTTTGATCCCCACTTTCTGCCACTATTTTTAGGTATTTCACATTTTCTTTCCTCCCTTTCAAAATATTGCTGGAAAGAGGAGTACAGAGTCTATTCAAAACATAATAGGATTCATTTCCCCGTGATAATGATGCTCCCAGTGCTTATTCCCCTTATTGCTGATCTAATCAGCCTCTTCTTACTCCTCCATTCAAATCCATTCTGTTGCTGCTATTTTTTCTGGGACTTCATATTAGGTAGTATTTTAAGTAAAGAGATCTCCTCTGTATTCTCATTCTAGGTGTACGGTCATACTTGGAAATTAATAACGTTTCTACCTACCGTGTCATTTCGGCCAAAAAACGTATAGACTGCATACAGATAGTAATCGAAGAGCTGGGACATGAAGTGGATCACATCAAATGCAATTGGCTTCAGAATATTCATCATCTGCATGTATTTCCCTTAAAAATTGAATACAGAAAATCAGTTTCCTCAGCACAAGTGCTACAAAGACAGCGCTGAGTTTGACAAACTCAAAACCAGCTTTACAAAATTTATTATTTAGCCCTGAATATTGATTAACAGCAACTTATTTTAGAGATTGGGAGGTTTAGAAACAAAGCTAAATATGATAACCAAGACACCACAAATGCCTCAAGTCTTCTCTAAATATCTGAATATTATGTATTGCTGCAGGCTGATTTTTTCCACTTATTCCGTGACAAACACACTTCTAAACTAGCTTGCAACCCATGGACGATATAAGGGTGATGTGTCACATTCTGGATAGCTAGATTTCCAAATATCTGTGCAGCTGGCATGAATATTCAAGGTAATCTCTTGGGCAGTATCTTATGCTTTTCCAAAGGGCTATATACACTGTACGCTGTCCAAGCATTGTCCCTATAAAAATCTTCTGATGCCAAGAACATTTCTCTATTACTACATCACTCAGCATCTTGACACCACAAGTGTTCCAAGAACATTTCCTCCTAGTTGCTCTCTCTAACAGGATGCCAGCTTTAAACTTCTATACATTGTTAGCTAGTTGCACGGAAGTTCCTATTTTGGGTGAAAAGGGGTGTATGAGAATATTTCCAAACAGCGCTAACAGCCCAAATCCACACCGTGCTAGAAACTTCAAGAAACACTTGAAAACACCACTTTAAGAGTTTTAGCAACTCAAAGTAGCTCGACTTTCGAGAGACTCTCCGTTAATAGCTAAAATTGCTGAACATTTGCCAGGTTTCTTTTGACATATTATTTCTAGTACTTCTTTCATCCTTAAAGACAGTAAGTAAAGAGTACTCTCTATCAGACTAACCTATATAAAACTGATCACTAAAACCAAAAAGGTAAACATCTAAACAACCTCCTGAATAACATATACTTGAGTTTTTGCATATCTGTGCTCATTAGTAAAATTATTTCCTAGGGAGTCTCACAATTCCAAACATGCAGCTTCCTACGACACACATTAGGAGCTAAAACACCGCTTTGAAGGAAAAAGTGAAAAGTCCATTGTAATCATATAATTTTGAAAGACTGTATGATTTAGGTTTTTTTAAGTCCCACAAGGTTCTGTGCTGTTATGGGTTGCCTGATGGCGAGGAAG